GCTCAATGGTAACTTCCCAAACAGAGATCAGGTTTTTGGTTTTTCATTTTGTTTTTTGAGACAGGGTTTCTTTGTGTAGCTCTGGCTGTTCCTGGAACCAGCATTGGAGACCAGGCTAGCCTCAAACTCACAAAGGTCCCTCTGCCTCTGCCTCCCAAGCACTGGGATTAAAGGCGTGCACACATGGCCTGAGATCAGTATTTTTTTTTTTTTTATTTTTCCTTTTCTTTTTGTCTCAAACAGGATCCCACTCTGCAGCCCTTTCTAGCTGGGACCTGTTTTATAGCATTATGTAGAATGCATCAGTGATAATGTCTGGAGAGCACTGTGATGTGCATAAGCCATCACATTTGATGCAGAAAGAACAGTCCTCATGCTTGCCTTGCTCTAGTCAGTTCCTATAAGGGTCATGGCTCTACTCCCCTGTGCTGAGGCTGCAGTGTTTTAAAGTAGAGATTTGGGGAATGGGTTCTGACCTGCAGGTTTGCATTTCCATCCCTTACTCATGGATCAGAGAGAATAAAGGAAGAATCATAATCACTACTAACCTAAAATCTGTTAGACAATACAGCATAAGTTCTAAAAAGGAACACATACATTGAGGACTACAAAATTCAAATGCAATAGCTCGGATTTTCTCCTGAGCCATTCTTTGAGCTATATTATGTTTGCAAAGCACTAAAAAGTGACAGTAACTCCCATAGAATTTAGTATCTTCATTTACTCACAGGAAATCCATGTCACTTCTGAATTATGTTACTTCACAATAACTACACTTATGTATACATGCTTAACTGCAATTTAAACATTATTTGACATGTTTTTGGACTTCCCTCAATTTTTACAACTCTTTTGGAATGAAATATTCTTCAAATCTTCTACAATTGCCATTTGTCTAAGTTGCCCAATGCCTATTTCCTAAGAAAATTTTAGATTATATCAAACATGGTTGATGCAAATTTTTCTCTCTGCACTAGCTAAATATTCTAATAAAATATTCATAATCTACTTTATCTTATATATTAATGCTAAAATTGATAGTAGACAGTGTTATTACACTCCTTGTTGTGGAAAAAAAACAAAATGCTTTGTCTAGAAAGTCAATCATAAATTCTGCCTTCCATACATGCCCCTTTTCTCTTTAATAGAATGAAATTGGATCTAGAGTTTAAACATCCCAACTGAGCCTGTTATAGTCATATAAGGCCCAAGTACACAGAATCGATTCATGTCAGTATTTTAGCATGGTCTACAGGTCCAGCATTTAAAAATATTTCTTCCTCACAAATTTTCCTTCTGAGGCTTGTACACTATGATCCTGTGCAACATAACACAGGATCCATTACAGATAGATAACCCTAGCTTTGTGTCTTGTTACAGGGATATGCTTGTAAGACTATTGTTTTCACAGAGTTGGAGCATTCATTGTAGAATGTGACTACATTAGAAGTCATCTTTTTTAGTGATTATTTTCGCTCATCTACATTCCTAATTTCCTCAACTCTCCTTATATCCAAGAAAGCACTCTGCCCGGGATCATGTGGTCAAACTGGACTTTTTCATTTCAGGGTCTGTTGACATTCAGGGATGTGACTGTGGACTTCCCCCAGGAGGAGTGGGAATGCCTGGACTCTGCTCAGAGGGCTTTGTACATTGATGTGATGTTGGAGAATTACAGCAACCTGGTCTCTGTGGGTGAGAACATTTTGCTTCTAGACTATGTAACTCATCCTTTCTATGAACTGACTGGATAGGTTATAAACTCTCTGTTAAGCTGTTTTGGAAATGATGAGAAACTAGGGAAATGTTTGGTAGTAGGAAAGAACATTTTCATGCTATTCAATTTTTTCTTTGCCTTTTCTGTTACAGGTGTCACGCTCCCCTCATTTTGGTTCCTCAATGCATTCAGAAACTTAGTATAGTATAATATTTATACTCATACCTTAAAGCTCCATGTCCATAGTTGTAGCTGACATGGTTTTAATTGTGACAAAAACTCAAGATTTACAAACTTAAATTTCTGAATATGCTGAAGAAAATATCCTGAAAAAAGTATGCTGAAGATTCTGACAGGAAATAGCAATAGGAAATCGTTCCTAGATTTGTAGTAGAATATTTTAAGGTGTGTTACTTTTGTTTATGTTGCATTTGTTTACCTCTGTGAAGCTGCATTACTGTGCCTGTCTAAAGCACTGGATGGATGGTCTAATTAAGAACTAGCCAATAGCAAGGCAAGAGAAAAGATAAGCAGGGCTGGCAGGCAAAGAGAGTATATAGAGGGAAAAATCTAAGAAGAGAGATCTAGCAGCCAGAGGAGGAAGACTCCAGGGGCCAGCCACCCAGCTACACAGCAAGCCACGGAGTAATTGTAAGATTTACAGAAGTCAGAGAATGGGAAAAGCCTAAAGTAAAAGGTAGAGGGGATAATTTAACTTAAGAAAAGCTGAGTAGAAACTAAGGCAAGCTAAGGCCTGGCATTCATAATTTGGAATAAGCCTCCACATGTGATTTATTTGGGAGCTGGGTGGCAGGTCTCTCAAAAGTCTAAAATACCAACAACAACAACAACATAGATTCCTCTACGTTGTGTTCTCTTCATGTGCTGATCACAGTACTGTCTTAGACTTCTGTATTCTTTCTAAAAATTTTATCATGGGTCATGGGCTACCTCACAGAACACATGGATTATTGTATGCAAGGTTGCCCTGGTCACCTGTCCAGAGCAAATGAGATTGCCCTTGAATGTGGAGAGGAGAGAGCAAATACTGTAGTAGAATATTTTAATGTGTGTTACTTTTGTTTACGTTGCATTTGTTTAACTCTGTGAAGTTGTGTTACTGTGCCTGTGAAAAACTGTGTAAAACACCTGATGGTTTAATAAAGAGCTGGCCAATAGCAAGGGAGGAGAAAGGATAGGTGGGGCTGGCAGGCAGAGAAAATATTTAGAAGGAGAAATCTGGAAGAAGGGGATCAAAGAGCTAGCAGCCAGAGGAGGAGGACTCCAGGGGCCAGCCACCCAGCTGCACAACCAGAAAGCCATGGAGTAAAAATAAGACATACAGAAGTTAGAGAATGGGAAAAGCCCAGAGGCAAAAGATAGACAGGTTAATTTAAGGAAAGCTGGCTAGAAACTAAGCCAAGCTAAGGCTAGGCATTCATAATTAAAAATAAGCCTCCATGTGTGAATTTATTTGGAAGCTTGGTGGCTAAGTTTTTTAAACTCCCAACAACATTTTGGCCTTCCAACATGGGCCATATTTCCATGTACGGTTTAAGAAAACAAACAAAAAAAAAATGGAGGAGTTATGGCTCCTTTAAGAGTTTTGGCCAGACTATCTCTGCTGGTCACTGAGCCCTTGAGCTAAGTAGGAACAAAATACTAAGTAAAAACACCTGCTGCAGTGCAAGCATTGGCGTTCCAGAGCTCTAGGAAGGTTTAATGCATGCAGTTTTTGGTCTCCTACCTCTGACCAGGACTAGACTTGGCTTTCATGACCCAAGAAGTGGGCAGAGCCAGCCAAGAGAGCCATGTGGAGAATCCAGGAGTACCTGAGCAGTTTAAAAGTTTACTTGTGCAGTCAAAAAAAGACTAGAGATACGCAGTAAAAGAGATCCAGAAGGAAAAACCTCTAAGCAAATTTCAGGGTGTTTAACAATGTGTGTAGGCTTAAAAAAAGGAAAATGGTATAGTCATGGAGAAAAAAAAAGAATACTTTATAAAATAAAGTCTTCAAAGAGAGAATAAAAAGGAATAAGCCATGTAGAGATGGGAAATACATGGGTAGTTTGGATCCTATATGTGTTGATTTTGAATTTTTTTACTTTTGAGAAGCAAAAGACAGCTGCTAGGACACAAGGGATTGTGAACTGGACTGCTAAACTGAACCATTCTAGATATTTTAGGAATGCCTTAACTTTAAAGAAGTAAAATAATGTATTTGTCAAATGGAAATCAAAAATGCTTTGGAGTTTTGTTCCCACAGATGAGAGGCTGTGGATTCCTTCAGGGTTAATATGGATCGGGTTTGATCAGGCAAGACCTCCTGAAATTTGACAGGTGATATCTGTCAGCAAAGGTTACTGCTGGTCTTCCCAGGACTCGGTCATTATCTCAAAATTTTCTCTCTGGGACCCTAAAGATAATTCATCCACACACAAAAGAAAGAAGTATGGAGAGACTATGCCCATATTCCCATGAATTGGGGGGTGTGGGTGACTGTTGGTTATTTGGTGGGTTGTAGATGTTATCATTTGGGAGAATATAGAATATTGATACAAATTTAAAGTTATTTTTGTTACACTGTATATGTGTTTCTACTCTTGTTTAAAAGTTTTGCATAATGATGCAAATTTAAGGTTGTTTTTGTTACCACATATTGTATATGTGTCTCTGCTCTTGTTTAAGGTATTGTATCTATGCAGTTTATTTAAAAATGTAAGGTATAGTTCTAGTTTTTGAAAGGTATTATAACTGTATAGGACAATCAAGAAACATAGATTAGTAGTTAGTCTTTTATAACAATCAAACTTGTAAATATGTTAGGTATGCTTTCCAGATCATATAGAGATATATTTTATATAGATAGATGGTTTTCAAACCTTTCAAAAAGCTACAGAATATGGCATTTAAAATGTTTTGTTAACTTAGGGCTTTTCATGACAAATGCACATCTGCCCTGGTAGCACTGATTTATCTTTGAGATGATGATGGGCATTGAAGATACTCCTATGGAGTTTGCTTTCATTGTGGCAAGATTAGCCATTGGATAAAGAAACTGTTCTTGCCTCTGACTGCTGACAATGTGGTGAACAGACTGGACATGCAGGACAGACAGGAAAAAGACTTTAACTTTGCCAAAACAAGGCAGGACAGTCTTTCAAAATTCTGTATCACAGAAAAGTCTGCCAGATATTCTGCAGGACACAGAGGAAAGTGACTGACAAATTTTGCCAAAACAAGGCAGAACAGTTCAAAATTCCTGCTTCATAGAAAAGTCTGCCCAATACTCTAGGCCTGTAGGTGAAAGATGGATGCCCCAACATTGCAGAGGAAATTAGGGTGACTGTCCAGGCAGCCAGATGTCTCTGGTGTTAGATAATAGTACATCCTTCTGAGTCTTTGATGGAGTTGAAGACTAAATAGTTATAGTTGCATTTTTTCCTAGTTATGATGGAAAGTAAGTTAGGTATAAAACTTTAGATTCACTAAGACAGGATAGATAATACATTATTTTCTTTGAATATGCTTACTACAAATGGACTGAATATTGTAAATTAATTCTTACTTGATAACTGCTTTTGTTATGTTAAAGTGAAAACTTTTACACAAAAATGGGTAAATGTAGTAGAATATTTTCAGGTGTGTTACTTTTGTTTATGTTGCATTTGTTTAACTCTGTGAAGTGTTACTGTGCCTGCGTAAAACACCTGATGGTCTAATAAAAAACTGACTAATAGCAAAGCAGGAGAAAGGATAGGTGGGGCTGGCAGGCAGAGAGAATATTTAGAAGGAGAAATCTGGGAGAAGAGGATCAAAGAGCTAGCAGCCAGAGGAGGAGGACTCCAGGGGCCAGCCACCCAGCTGCACAACCAGAGAGCCATGGAGTAAGAGTAAGACATACAGAAGTTAGAGAATGGGAAAAGCCCAGAGGCAAATGATATAATTTAAGGAAAGCTGGCTATAAACTAAGCCAAGCTAAGGCCAGGCATTCATAATTAAAAATAAGCCTCCATGTGTGAATTTATTTGGGAGCTGGGTAGCAGCCCCCTCCCAAAAAAAGAGTAAAAAACTACCAACAATAAAACACAACTAGGGTGGGCTAGTGAATAAGCAGGACAACAGTAATGGTGTCCAGTGAAAGAGAAAGCAAAAGCTGAGACTGTTTTGTGATATTCAATTCCACCTGAAAAGAGTCCTGATCATTAACTTACTGTAGTGTCCTGGTCCCAGGATGCATCCTGTCTGTTGTAACTGTTAGAAGGCATTGTGTCTATTGCACCTGAAATATGGTGACAATACTAGCACAAAATGCAATTTTATTTGACAATGCTGACGTCAGATTGGAATAATTTTACAAAATTTTAAGTCTAAAGTGAGTCCATGAAGTAGGATTATTGTTTAGTTGTCTTCCTTGCATGTATGTCTTCTTATTACATCCTTCATTTTCTTCCCAGTGGAAATACACAGACATCGTTCTGGGAGATAATCCTAGGAGCTGGTGGACAGAGTGGACTTGAGAATAACCCTATGAGGAAAGTTAAGAAACACAGCAGTGTGTGGAGGATAGAAATAAGCAATAGCTGCCCATGACAGCCCTGCCTCAAATGATCTAGAGCTTCTGGTGCCTGGACGAATACTGTCTTTGCATTCATTACTTTTCAAGAATCTAATGCCTTGCTTTAGAAAAAAATAAAATAAAATAAACCCTTTGATGCTTTTAAGTAAGACTTTAATCTTTAAAGAGATTGGGTCTTCTGAACAGTATTTCTCATTGCTTATCACTTAGTAAGTATAAACACTGTGAATCTGGGATTGGATTAAACTCTATCAATTTCTGAGATGAAATATTTAAAAGGAGATGTGTGCCATTAGACATTTCTGATAAGGAGGAGATATCTATTACATCACACACCCTTGAAGGCTGTGAGGCTTTTTTTATGAGAATACATAAAATTACACTGAAAGAAAAATATTTAAGTAGTTGCTGGTTGACTTATCTTAAGAGAGATCTTAGAGACAGTCTTTTAGCAGATGTTTAATCTTGGAACAAGCCCTATTAATCTGAACTGTACTCATTTTCCAGAGAACTTTTACATATGTGATCCTGTCCATCAACATGTGAAGACTGAAAAGGAGTCTTGTCAGTATTATGAGCTTGGCAAAGTGCTTCATGACCCCTCCACAAGTGCATTTTATAAATCAAGTGAAACTATAGAAAATGCTAATAACAGCAGATGCAGTAATCACAGGGATGCCTCTATTGACTCGTCAAATCCACATAGACTTGAACACATGCTCCCTGGAGAAGAACCTTGCAAATCTAAAAACTGTGAGAAATCTTTAAATTTGTGTTGCAACATTACTCAAGATCAGAGACTCTTCACTGCAAAGAAGGAGCACAGGCAGGGAGAAGATGATGACTATTTCAGCTCTGCTTACAGTCTTTTGCAACAACCAATCTACATTGAAGAGACACCACACCAATGTGAGAAATGTGGGAAATGCTTCAGAACTGGCTCACACCTCTCTGTACATCAGAGAATTCATACTGGAAAAAAACTTTACAAGTGCAACAGTTGTGATAAATCCTATAACCAGTGGGCAAATCTTAAAACACATCAAAGAATTCATACTGGGGAGAAACTTTACAAATGCAAAGAATGTGGAAAGTTGTTTACTCAGGCCTCAGCACTTAAAAGCCATCAGAAAACGCATACAGGAGAAAAGCCTTACAAATGTAAGGAATGTGATAAGTCCTTTGCCCACTGTTCCAGTTTCAGGAGACATCAGAAAATCCATACTGATGAGGAACATTGTAGTTGCCAAGAGTGTGGCAAGGTCTTTCATCAGCTTTCACATCTTAAGAGCCACTACAGGCTCCATAGTGGAGAGAAGCCTTACAAATGCAATGAGTGTGGTAGATCCTTTCCCCACTATTCCTCTCTTAAATGGCATCAGAAAACTCATTCTCTAGAGACATTTTATAAATGCAAAGAATGTGGTAAGTCCTTTCTAGAAATATCACATCTTAACAGGCATTACAGAATCCATACTGGTGAAAAACCTTACAAGTGTGAGGTATGTGACAAATCTTTTACTGTGAATTCAACTCTTAGAACACATCAGAAAATTCATACTGGAGAGAAATCTTACAAATGTAGGGAATGTGACAAATCCTTTACCCGGGACTCACATCTTAGAAGACATCAGAGTGTTCATACTGGAGAGAGACCTTACAGTTGTAAAGAATGTGGCAAATCTTTTACTACATGCACATATCTTAGAGAACATCAGAAAATTCATACTGGAGAAAAACCTTACAAATGTGGAGAGTGTGACATGTCTTTTATCCAGCGTTCAAATCTTAGAACACATCAGAGAGTCCATACTAGAGAGAAACCTTACAGATGTAAGGAATGTGGCAAATCTTTAACTACAAGCTCAACTCTTAGAGAACATCAGAAAATTCATACTGGAGAGAAACTTTACAAATGTATGGAATGTGACAAATTCTTTACTCATAACTCACATCTTAGAACACATCAGAGAGTTCATACTGGAGAGAGACCTTACACTTGTCAGGAATGTGACAAATCTTTTACTACATGCTCATATCTTAGAGCACATCAGAAAATTCATACTGGAGAGAAACTCTACAAATGCAAAGACTGTGACATGTCCTTTCTCCAAATTTTTAGTCTTAAAATACATCAGAAGACTCATACTGGGGAGAAATCTTACAAATGTAAAGATTGTGACCTATCTTTTAATCAGAGATCAGATCTTAGAAGACATCAGAAACTTCATACTGCAGAGAAACCTTACAAATGTCCGGAATGTGACAAATCTTTTACCTACATGTCAAATCTTAGAACACATCAGAGTGTTCATACTGGAGAGAGACATTACAGATGTAAGGAATGTGACAAATCTTTTACTAGTTGCTCTTATCTTAGAGCACATCAGAAAATTCATACTGGAGAGCAACTTCACAAATGCAAAGACTGTGGCATATCCTATATCCACCTTTCAAATCTTAGAAGACATCAGAGAATTCATACTGAAGAGGAAAATACTGTTGTAAATCATGTGACATAGCATTTATATGGTATTCTCTACTTACAAGCCCCAAGAGTATACATTATAGAAACAAAGACAAGAAATTTGTGAAAGCCTTTAATGAAGTTTTAAATCTTACAAAATATCACAGTTTATATTCAAATAAAATTCTGCAATAGTAACTGTGAATTACTTTTAATTTGTGTGGGTGCTTTGTCTACACGACTTTCTGGGCACTGTATGTTTGTCTGTTGCCTGTTGAGGCCAGAAGAGGGCATCACATTCCCTGAAGCTGGAGTTCCAGACAGTTGTGAGCTATTATATGTGTTGAAAATTGAACACAGTGCTCCTCTGGAAGAGGAACCAGTGCTCTTAACCTCCAAACCATTTATGCAGCCCCTGGGAATAGCTGTAATAAAAAACATTTATCTTGTTCAACATCCAAGAATCAATAATAATACTAGGCATGGTGCTGCATGTCTTTAATCCCAGCACTCAGGAGGCAAAAGAATAAAGATCTCTTGAGTCTGAGGCCATCCTGGGCTACATAGTGAGTTCCAAGAGTGCCAGGACTACATAGACTCTGTCTCAAAAGAATAATAATGACAAAATTACTAACAAAGGATGTGACAAACTCTTTTTTTTTGTTCTGTGTATGTCTCTGTGTATATATAATATTGTTTTTGGCGTGTCCCGGCACAAAGTGTAGATGTGGCACATATAGAAGAGAAAATTGGGAAAACAGAAAGGCAGTCAGGAGACAGCTGCCGCCATGAGTAACATGTTAAAATGTTTACATGTAAAATATTGGTAAGCCCTGAGCCATGTGGCAAGGTATAGATTTATAGAAATGGGTTAATTTAAGATGTAAAAACTAGATAACAAAAAGCCTGCCACTGCCATACAGTTTGTAAACAATATAAGCCTCTGTGTGTTTATGTGGTTGGGTCTGAGCAGCTGTGGGACTGGTGAGTGAGAAAGATTTGTCCTGACTCTGGGCCAGGCAAGACTGGAAAAAAAAATTCTGACTACAGATTTCCTTCTAAATGTGCTGTACATCACAAAATTCATAGTTGTGAGAAACCATAAAAGGTACACCATATATAATCCCTATATCTTGTTGTTCATTGTAAATTACAGTCACCAAATGCATTGAATTTATAAAATCCTTGACCCATAAAAAAAAAAAACACAAGAAAATGTTCTAGTAAAGTCTCATTTTTTGTTTTCTTTCAAAAATCTTATGCTAGTGTCAAACCTTGCAAATAGCAGAAGGTGAGAAACTGTAAAAGAGAGAAGCTGTGCATGTGACATCACAGGCATGACACTAACAGTTTAGAAATCCCCAAAAACTCTGGATGGTGGTCCCTGCCTTTGTTGTAGGAATTTAGCAGAATCACTGTAAGGGGTAAATATTAAAACAATGAACAGCTATTTTATAGGAGTACTTTGACCTAGAAGAATCCTTGTGGAAAATAGTGATTATTTGCTGAAGGGGCATTGCAGCCATCGCATAACTTTGCTCACAAGATACCTTAGACACACCTGAGGCTCTTGTATTATTGTATATTGCAAACAATACATAATAAAGGACAAGAGTCATGGGGGCATGTGATGCTCTGTTTTAGTAAGACATAAATTAGATTATAGATCTTGGTATGAGGAAATACTTTGTATAACTTTCAATCAATATGCCTTAACATGGCTGTTCAGGGTTAAGTCAATCAGATGAGGTCGGACCTTCCTGCTGTCATACAGGCCTTAAAATTTCATGCCTTCTTTCTTCAACTGACCCATGCTACAGGATATGCCCCAGCATTTGGTGACCATGGTGTAGGGTGTGAGGAAAGAAGTGTCCAGACCCCCCAAGACTGGAAGTAACATATGTCCATAGTAGTAGTTGAGATTACAGGATAAGGCAGGAACATGGAGAATTTAAATTCTCCCTCTCAAGTGTGGCAACAAATAAAATGGCTCCTGAGACAAAGGGTAAATCCAGGAAAAAGAATCTTCCCAGTAGAGAAAGAAAAAAGAAAGGAAG